TTAGTCTCCACTCAGCCTCTTTGTCCCATACCCACCAACTTTTAGAAGAGCAAATACAACCAGTATTTGTAAAGGAACTAATGAGTGTTTTTCTCTACGAGACAGTAACAACCATAATCCTAGGGCCATACTTTTGAAAATTTCACAATCTTTTCTTAGTCTTTATCAGGATCGGATTTGGTTGAAATCTATGTCCCGCCCCTGCCCCCCCAACTCCGTGCTCATAAAATGAAGAAATTACATCATTTATCCTATTTCCCTCAGTCATGTCTGACAATAGTGTCCTCGTGGTGTGACAATATACCCCAGATTTCCCATAAACTAGATTTTGAAGAATGTCCCTCTGGAAGCAGGTAACACCCTCTTTGCAAGCCACTGCGAATACATTGTCTTAATAGTGGGTACTTGCAAATTTACCAGCCTACAATCCCACCACTTCATTACAAGTCAAATAGGCCAACAGCTGCTGGCCATTAGCACATGTTACTGCTTAGATTTATTGATAATTTAAAACTTGACTTCCTCAGTACTACACTGACCAGACAGGCACAAGGCAAGACTTGTGCCAGAAAGCTCTGTGGAGCACCACTGATCCATTGGTAAGGGAGGTTGACCCTCCCCTATCATTTTGTTCCCCATGAGTTCAGGCACAGAGAAGGGGCACTATAGATGTTCTTTCCTTCTATTTACCAAAGTAAGGTAGTTCCCTAAAACTCTGAGGATTACAGCATGTTGCCTATTTCCTTTGAGAATCAACAAGAACCTGAGGACACTGAACACATCTAACTCCAAATTGAGGACTCACTGTTCTCATTCACAATCACCTGTTCCACTTCTGCCAGGGTCTCACTGGGTCCCTCTTACACATCTGGACAACACATTACACCATCAGAACATTCCAAAGCACTTTTACAATCAATACATTTTAACTTAAATGTGTTAACTTTATATTTGCATTTCTCTCTTGCTGAAAAGTTTGGTTCTTAAAGATGTTACTTATTTGTTTTCTCCTACAAGTAACAGTAAAACTATGGTATTGTTAACCTGAAGCCAATAACAATGATTCCTAAAAACAGCCTAGGATAATTCCTTCTAGTCCTTATAGCATATCCACTAAAATATTTACAGTCAAAATAAGATGCTTTAATGCTATGTGAAATACATCCTGCGAGATTAAATCACTACAGTGAAGCACAATCAACATGTAATGAAATTTTTTTTCCTTCTAATTTTAAGGGAACTGATCTCCCCATCACTTGATAAGCATGTTTTATAATTTTGTAAAACATGAGTCCAATGTTGCACAGAATTAAAAAACCCCTCTCTTGGGCCCTCCCTGGTGGCGCAGCGGGTTAAAGCTAAAGCCACTTCCGCATGAGTTCGATTCCCGCCTGCCCCAGAGGTGACCACATGGCGTAGCAGACCTCTCCTGACCCGCCCGCTGCTCCCCTCAGCAGTATACTTCGTTGATTTGCCTGTTCTGCTCCCCACTCTGTCTCTGGGGAAGCCTCTCGCTGCCCCTGCACCTCTGGCCTGTACCCCAGTTCTGTATGCATAAATAAATAAATCTTAAAAAAAAAAAACCCTCTTTCCTTCCTCTTTCTAGAGATGCCTATGTTGTCTACTTACAGTAGACTATTTTAAAATGTGTAAGCAGATATACATACATCTATACCCCACCTGTAAAACAGTAAATACAAGAAACCTCTACTCTTCACAGTATCTTCTCTTCCAATTCTGAAAATCCTACCCTTACTCTTGTGATATAAAAATACCCCAATAGCAGGTCCACCCCATCAATACCAAGTTCCAATTGACAGACACCTACACTTTGCCATCTACCACATTAGTGGTACCTGTTTTTTTTTGTTTTGTTTTGTTTGTTTGTTTTCCATTTGTTTTTTGAGGTATTAACTGATACATAATGCTACATTTGTTTTCAGGCATACACTATTACTCAATAGTTAACGTATACTGCAAAATGACCACCACAACAGATCTAGTTGAAATCCATCAACACACAGCTCCAAAATGTTTCTTCTTTTGATCAGGACTTTTAAGGATTTATTCTTATGAACTTACAAATACACAATATTGTTAACTACAGCCATAATGCTGTATATTATATCCCCAGGGCTTTATTATTTAAAAGTAGTTTATTTCTTTAGAGCATCTTCACTCATTTCACCCCCACCATGCCTTGCATCTAATAACCATCAATCTGTTCTCTGTATCTATTGCCTTGGTTTTCTGTTTTTTTGTGTTGTTTTGTTCAGATTCCACATACAAATGAGAACACTGAGTATTTGTCATTGAGTATTGTCTTTCTTTGATCTATTTTACTCAGTATAATGTCCTCAGAGTTCATTCACGTTACAAATGGTAAGACTGGTTTTGGTTTAATTTATTTATTCATACATACAGAACTGGGGTACAAACCAGAGATGCAGGGGTGATAAGAGGATTCACCAGAGACAGAGCAGGGAGCAGAATAGGCTAACTGACAAAGTACACTGCTGAGGGGAGCAGCGCGCAGGCCAGGAGAGAGCTGCTGCGCCATGTGGATCATCTCCAGGGTGGGGATCGAACTCATGCTGAGGTGGCTTTAACTTCTTATTTTTAGTGTGTGCTTCAACCCACTGCATCACCAGAGAGGGCTCAGACTGTTATTTTTTATGGCTAAATACTATTTCATGCACTGCTTAACACGATTAAGTTCTTTAAAAAGCTCACTGGGGACCCCCTGGTGAAGCAAGTGGTTAAGTCTCAGCACTATGAAGCTTTTGGCAGTCACTGCAGCACTAGTTTGATCCCCAGGCAGCGATCCAGCAAAGTAGATCTTCTCTGTCTGGCCTACTGCTCCCCTCAGCAGTGTATCTGACTGTTCTGTTCCCCACTCTGCCTCTGGAAATCCTCTCAAACCCCCACCTCTGACCTATACCCCAACTCTTATATGCACAAATAAATCTTTAAAAAATGAACAGCTCATTTGGCAAATATAGGTAATGGCTGACCAAAATTGCCACTAAGCAATGCATGTCCTCATATACCACATTTTCTTCCATTCATCCATCACCGAAGACTTAGGTTGTTTCCTTATCTTGGCCTATCATTAACAACGCTGTAATGAGCATGGGTGTGTAGGGGATGGACACAGACATCTTTTCAAATTAGTGTTATTGTTTTGGGATAACTACCCCAAAAGTACAAATACTGGATCATATAGCAGTTATGCTTCCAATTTTTCTGAGGATCTCTCCATTTTTTTCCATAGAGGATGCACCAAATTATCATCCCACCAATAGTACACTGGGGTTCCCTTTCTCTACATCGTCAACTACACCTGAGGACTGGAATAAATAACTATTAATGTTCCTAATGTTTACTGTTAAGTCTACTTATGCCCCAGGTAAAAGAGGAGGGAGCATGTAACACTGTTAGTGCTGACATCCGCACAGCAACAATGCCTACTGCTACCATCACCAAGTAATGGGTATGTCAACAGTGAGGAGCTTCAAGTATGTCTAGGAAAGTCGCATAGATTTCTGTACCACTGAACATTTCTAAAGATTTCTCAAGCACTCAACAGGACTAAGGAATTATGAAATGGTGCAACCACGATAGTGGTCTGTAATCCCTCAAGAAGTTGAAAAGTTACCACATGACACAGCAATTCCACTTCTAGGGACATATATGCCCACAGGTACTGAAACATATCCACAGATGTTCTCAGTGGCACCATTCACAAGAGCCAACATGTGGCAACAGCTCAGATTCATTCTGGATGAAAGGTAAGTATAATGTGTCCACCCACGAAGTAGAATATTACTTGGTCATAAAAGGAAATGAAGCCCTAGCATTCTACGACATGGATGAACCTCCAAAACAATGCTGAGTGAGAGAAGCCAGACACAAAGGGCCACTTAGTGTGTGATCCATTCATACAAAATGTTCTGAACAAGCAAACCTGGACAGAAAACAGATTAGTAGTTGTCAAGAGCTGAGGAAGGAATCAGAGAATGACTGCTCATGGGAACAAAGTTCTTTCTGGCTAATAAAATGTTCTGGAACAAGACAGAGGTGATGGGTACACAACTCTCAAACAAACACACACACACACACACCCCACTGTTCATTATAAATGGTGTACTGTAAATTATATCTCATTTTAAAAAATTTTTTTAAAGCACCAGTAAAGTCTATCTGTCAGAACATTCTAGGAATGTTTTCCTGACACCAGAATTGCTTGACCATTGCCCAAATCTTCTTGCTATAGGATATAAGAGCTGAAAAACTCACTCTCCTCTCATACACACAGACCCCCTCCCCCTCCCATCAGCCCAGCAGGTTGAGTCCAAAACCAGTCCAGGCAGTTGTGGCACCACTAGAAGAGCACAGCCACAGGCAAATCACCTGCCAACTGCCCAATAAGCGGGAGCAGCTGAACAACTCAGGAGGTCTCCATGTCAACAATCTCAGTTCCACTTTCTTCTCAGCCCTAGGATCCACCATCACTGACTGGGCCCTGATGGGGAATACAAAATCCCAACCAGATGTCCAGCTCTGCCTGTGAGAGCCTAACCCCTGCCACAGTCTACACTTGAAAGCCTTGAACAGAGGTCTGATCTTAGTTTCCTCATAGGCACCAAGTTGAGTAAAGGCACCTAGCTCCAAGCACTAGTACAGAGCCCCTGAACCACTGACAGTGGTTAAGGAAAAATTCTACCCAGAAGTAACCACTATCCTCTGGCCCTGATCCTCATGGAAGACAGCTCATTCTATTTAGGCCTGGGCTTTTCAAATGAGTGACCCCTGAGAAGAGAAGGGAAAGCAAATAGCTGCCCTGGCAGTGGCAAGCAAGGCCTAGATGGCCTGTGGAAATGGCATTATGTACAATTCTAGAGGGATTTTCTGGGAGGTGACCCTGAGCTTCTGAAGCAGTATTCAGGTCAAATGTCCCCTACAGTGACAGAATGCAAGACCCTACACCCAGCACTCACCTGACTTCTGGGCATGGGATGTTGGTCCTACCAACTGGCCATGGCTGCAGCTACGTCAAAAGGGCAACTTGCAGCAACGTGCTGACCAACCTGACATGAAAGACAGAGAAATACACAGACTGAGTTTCCTAGGAAAATCTCTAAAACATAACAATAATTTTCTTTTTAAAGATTTATTTATTTGTGCATACAGAACTGGGGTACAGTCCAGAGGCTCAGGGGCGGTGAGAGGTTTCACCATACACAGAGTGGGGAGCAGAACAGGCAGATCGATGAAGTACACTGCTGAGGGGAGCAGTGGGCGGGTCAGGAGAGGTCTGCCGCGCCATGTGGTCACCTCCGGGGCAGGCGGGAATCGAACTCATGCAGGAAGTGGCTTTAGTTTCTCAGTGCTGCGCTTTAACCCGCTGCGCCACCAGGGAGGGCCCATAACAATAATTTTTAATGTTACCAACACTCCTAGAATGACATGGCAACATTTTAAATTTCAACCAAAACATTGCCTCTGATGCCTTCCACAGGGAGGAAAACTGAGGAAATAAATTTCTGTCTGCATTTAATGCAAAACCTGATGCATGCCAGTCGTCAGCAAGGTGGATGGAGACAGCCACATGCCAAAATAGTGAACATACAAGAGATTCATGGTTGGGATTGTAATAGTATTACCTAGAATTTAATAGGTGCTCAATGAGTTCCAGGCTCTATGGTTAAATCCAGTAACTAACTTCCAGACAATCACTAAGAGCAGATTACAGAATCACTCACTTTACAGTAAGGGATCTGACATGTCTGACATTCAGGGGCCTTCCAGGATCACCACAGGCAGCAATCTCCAGATGTGATTACTTTGCTCACAAACCAGCACAGACTTTAGGGAAATCAACCACCAACCAGTTTAGGCAATGGCTAGCTTGCCCTCAAGACATAGAGGCGACCTCCCTGGTGAAGCAACAGAATAAGTCTCAGCACTTGAAGCTTTCAGCAGTCACTGCAGCATGAGTTCAATCCCCAGCCAGGGAGCTGACCCACAGCAGACTTCTACTATCCCGCCAGCTGCTTCCCTCAGCAGTATATTTCAGTCAATGTGCCTGTTCTCCCCATTCTGTTTCTGGTGAATCCTCTCATCCACCCCTCAAGCACCTCTGGCCTACACCCCAGCTCTTATATGCATAAACAAACAAGTCTTTTTAAAAAAAGAAAGAAAGAAGCAGCAGTAGACAGAGGGGGACAAACACTCCCAGATATAAGTGGTTCCTGCCTCACAGGGCTGAGCACAGGGCAGAACTATTTTACAGACAGGAAACTAAGGTAACAAAGTTTAGGAACTCTCCCAAGGTTAGAGACAGTGTGGTCCCAGGAAACCCTCTCCTCTGTGAGGTCAGACATCCAGACCAAGTACAAACTAACCTAGCAGTCAAATCCCAGACTCCAGGCACTCTGTCTTTGTGGCTTACCCAATACTGTATATCACTGCTATTGTCATTCTTGCACTTATATGCCTGCCAAATGCTACTCTGATATGAGACCTTTAAAAAAATATATTTATGTATACAAGAGTTGGGGTGTAAGCCAGTGTATACAAGAGCTAGGGTGTAGGCCAAGGTGCTTTGGGGGGGGAGGGTGAGAGAATTCACCAGAAACAGAACTGGGGAGCAGAACAGGCACACTGACTGAAGTACACAGCAGGTGGGACAGGAGAGCTCTGTTGCGCCATGTGGGTCAGCTCCCTGGCCAGGAATCGAAATAATGCTGCAGTGACTGCTGAAAGCTGAGTGCTAAGACTTAATTCCTTGTGCCATTAGGGAGCTTCCCCATCCCCCTGAAAGCTTTATTTTTAAAATGGGTTCACAGTAATTCACCAGTCATGAGTGGAGAGTGACATTTCAAAATGAATTTGTAAAATAAGCAAAGATCACTGAACTCTCTGTAAAGACCTATGGGCACCAAGGAGTACAGGGTGCTAGGGTGCTCTTTATAAAACCAGAGCAGACTGTACCATGTCAACTCCTAGGGAGGGATGACCCCTTTCTGCCACACTCTTCAGCTGCATTGAGGCTGGGAAAAACAGGGAATCTGTTAATCCTAGTCCTTTTCCTACCTCTCAAGGTGGAGACCTCAGAGGTAACCCTGAGGTTTTCCAAGTACCTGCTCTCTTCAGGGTCAAGGTCCACCTACAAAAGTCAGAGGCAATAGCCAGAAGCAGATCTGTAAGCTTTACAAAAACTCCATTTACAACAGCATAAGTGTAAAAAAATACTTAAGGATAAGTTTGCTTGTAAAAAATTTACCATATCTGGATTGCAACTGAAATGGGAAAATGCACAAAATGATGCAAAAATAAACTATTTTATCTCTCTCTCTCTATCTATGATGTAAAAATAAACTATTTTTATCTATCTCTATGATGTAAAAATAAACTATTTTATATCTCCATCCATCCATCCATCCATCCATCCATCCATCCATCCATCCATCCATCCATCCATCCATCCATCCATCCATCCATCCATCCATCCATCCA